TATTTTTTGCTAATCTACAAGAATCAAGCATCAAAGCACGACTCTGCAACCATCGCAACTGACCCACTGATAAAATCCAGCTACAAATGGAAAATTTACACCTCGTTTCAGGAGTAGCTATTCTACCAGATTCCAATTTCAACTAGAAGTTTTAAGGCCCATTTGGCAGGCGAGCCTACTTTTTAGGAATCACCTAAAAAAGTTTTTAGTTACGTTGAGAATAATTTAATGCAAAATAAGGCCTAGAATATATAAAACGAAAGTGTGAAAGATTTCCCAATCCCCATATACGTTCAGTTTTTGTTGGATCCTATTAGAAGCGTACATATCTATGGGGACTTTAACGCGACTTGGGGATTTTAATTGGAAAATTGTGAAAATGCTGGGCAATCCTGAAATGAAACTGTCTACATTTTCTCTGACTGACATTGCGAACGAGATCCATGATTGAAATTCCCCTTGTAAAATATTCATTTTTGAAGGAATTCATTAAGATTTTTCTTCGAAATTCATGGATACTTTACATTAATTATCTAACCAGTAGATAAACTTCTCAGAAAAATTGTGAGGAAAATTTTAAAATTTTACTCTGAAAATCCGCACTTTATCAACGGAAATTTGGCAACATCTCACGTATCATACAGCGTTTTTCTTCAGCAAGACGATGTGATGGTGTCCTGCAGCAGGCCAAAAAACCTCGAGGTCTTTGTTCAAGTATGCTTGAGCTCTTCATACGGATTACGGTTGAATAGTGAATGGACGCTTCGATCGCAGGATACCGACACACACAATGCCAGTTCTCGTGACGGGGTTTCGGCGGTGTTCAATTTTGGATACCGCGCGAAGAATTTTTAATTTTCCTTGCAATATTGCATCGCCGAGAAGCGTAATTGATTCAATCCGCGGCAGCGATTGGGACCAAAAATTCATGCGTTGTTGTCACGAATACGCGTTATTCGGTTAAATCATCTCGCCGAGTCCAACTTCGGTTGAGACGAAATCCCGCTTAAGTCGAAAATTTCTTCGGCCCCCACACACTGGAAAAAAAACACATTAGATCCAGAGTCCAGACTCTTGAAAACATTGACAAGAAAAAATACTCTTGATTTAATCAGATTCAAGCTTAAATCAAAAGAAAATCCGCTCAAATCAAGAGGCTTGGTTCTTGATTTAAGCAAAAATCCGATTGAATCAAGAGTATTTTTTCTTGTCGATGTTTTTGAGAGTCTGGACTCTAGATCCAATGTGTTTTTTTCCAGTGCATGAATGGTCATTGTTGATAGTTCCCCATTTGCAGCCGAGATTAAGACTCAAGTATAATGGCGTTTGTTGCGAACACCTTGTTTATCGATCCTTTTCCATAGCTTTAAAAGGCAGATGGCCAGAGCGCCTTCAATACTTCGGTATGCAACACGGACATCCATCAAGCACGAATAGTTGCATCGTAGCGTTGTCTCACAGAAATCAGAGCGCCTTCATTATTCAGTACACGCAACATGCACATCCATGGAGTATAAATAATTGTATTTAGAGCCGTGGGTCGTGGGTGTCACTCCTTAAACTGCTCATTTACTGGGGAGGTCCCTGGATTTACTGTGTGATCAAGGGAGGTTCAAAGAGATCCTTAACATATTATCAGAAGAAATTCTATAACTTTAACAATTTTTTTAACTGAATCAGCCTTTCGCTACACGGACAATCGAGACCTCAACCTTACTCGAATCAGTCGACAAAAAAATCCACTAAATCACGCATGTTCTACATTAAAATCGGTCGCTCCGAACGAGTGTATTTTCCCAATGGCGAGGCGTTAATGATCGATCATCAATATCTCCCCATTTGAAACTGTGGTAAAGTATCGATTATCCAAAGTGTTCGTTGCGAACACCCTGCTTATCGATCCTTTTCCAAAGGTTGTAATGGCAGATCAATCGATGTATCGCAAAGCAAGCCACGCCACAGTATATTACGAGCAGCAACTACAGCGCGCAGGTGGATCTCCGGTCGACATTTTCGGACTGAAATCCGAAATCGTGACACACGGAGTGCACAATTCCGATACAAGATGGAAAGCATGACGAGTTATTTTTTTCATCGATGAACACGGCTTCGGATGTTACTGGAGCCGGGCAAGTAAGGATGCTGAATAAGTTTTGTTCGTTTATTTTACGTCATGCATCGCCGCGCAAAGATGGCACACGACACGATGACACACACCACACACCCGGGGAAAGTGGTGGATGCGTTCGAAATAATCATTGTGAATGCTGGTGAGGTGGCCTCGAAATTTGACTCTGCTCTGCAGACGTCAAAGAACATGTCTCAGGTTACCTAAGACGGAAAATTTAATGAGATATATAAGAATTTGAAATTTTAAGGATGAAACTTCACTCGAAAAATCATGAGACTTTCCTGTAAAATTTCAGGCTATTTTTCATGAAATTTCAGAAACTTTTTGGAATTTCAAGTGAAATTTTAAGGGAAATTTGGCTACTTGTCAAATCGGGCATTTTGTAAAATTTTGACGACCCATCAAAAACTAGTATGTCAGCCCTAAACGACGCCGAAGAACTTTTTCGGAAGAATCTATTAATCTTGTGAGGAACAACAATTAGACCACATTTTGCAATTTGGAGCTATAAATCCTAGCCCGGTTTAAAAACAACGTATGTGCCATTAGTTTCCCTATGCACATAAGTATTTTTCAAGAAGAGCCAAAATTTATAGTTCCAAATTGCAAAATGCAGTCCAATTGTCAATCGCGAGAAACGTAAGGAAATACACCCATGACTTACGAGAGAAAATTTTCGAGAGTGTATCGAGAAAAAAGGGAAAAAGGAAACTAGAGTGAGAGAAAGGTCAATAATTTGAAAAATTTGGGAAAGTCAGAAAATTTTTCGTAAAAGAGGAGGAAAAAACCAGGATCGCGTAAAACGCTCGTCAGAATGGGGTTTGGTACTTTTTGCACCCCTGCGTTACAACATATTGAAAATTCGTCAACACTGACTTTGACAAAGGTCAAAAAAAAAAAGATATTGCCCATAGTGCGGTTCTACACTGGAAAAAAAACCACATTGGATCTGGAGTCCAGACTCTTGAAAACACTGACAAGAAAAAATACTCTCGATTCGATCGGCTTTTTGCTTGAATCAAAACGAAATCCGCTTAAATTAAGAGGCTTGGTTCTTGATTTAAGCTAGATTCTGATTGAATCAAGAGTACTTTTTCTTGTCGATGTTTTTGAGTCTGGCCTCTAGATCCAATGTGTTTTTTTTTTCCAGTGTAATGAAGTATTAGAGAAATCGAAATCATAGATACACTGATAACAGAATGAGGCGTGAATGGAGGGCATCGACCCCATTGTGTACCATTTAACGAAATCCCTTGGTACTTAGGGTATAAAGCCTGAGATCGCGTGAAGAGCGGACCTCGCGATCCTGAATTTTCGTCCATTTGGCGTCGAGCGAGAAATAGTGTTGTAGGCTACGATAGGGGCGGTTTTAACAGGATTATCAGGAACTGGAGCTAAGTTGAAACCTTATCGAGTATCGCCACGACCTGGGGTAAAATCGATCACGTGCAGCCCTATCTCGTCACTTTTTGGCGCTGGCACGCGCCTGGAAATCTTGTCACCATTTTTAGGAAATTATACGCGATTTTCATCGCAATATCATATAGGTACGCGATTTTTCTAGCGGTTTAAAAAAAGTGAAAAATTACGCGATTCTCACCTCAATATTGTGAGGTTGGAACAGTTGTGCACTCGATGTCCGCTTTTTTTAATTTATTTACTTGCACTTTTTTTTTTTACCAATTTTCATACAGCCTATCGGCTAAACAAACACTTCTTACCCCCGCCCCAGGTGATCATTACTTGCAAACATCAAACTCCTAGGTCACCTGGCCTGGAATCCAATCCCGGACCTCTCTTGGCCAAAAGGTCAGCACTACAACCACTACACCACAGGATACCAGTTTTGACCAATGTTGATTCATAAAACATATGTGTGCAAATTTCCTTGGGCATTTAAAAAAAACGTACATTCCTTGTAGTTTTGAAAAAATCATATGCAATTATCATATTAATATTACTGCTAATACACAATTTTTTCAGCAGTTTATGGAGAAGTTGGACATTACTTATGCAATTCCTTTTTCAATATCGCAGGAAATTGATACACAAATTTCCCAGCGGTTCCAAAAAAACTTGAAAAATCTTGCAATTTTCAACTCGGTATCCTAAGACACTTGGAGATTCACTGAAACTTGACTACTAAGTACCAAAGTACTTCTCAAAGAAATTATCATCTGAGGAATTTAATACAACTCTCAAACTTTTTATGAACAACCACGGAAGCATCTACAATGAAAATGCTTACTATCTTCCCCTGTTTGAGAAATTCAAAATACAGCAATAAGTAAAAGCGCTGAAAAATTCTTGAAGAAAACGCAGTCTTAATTAGGTATATCCAATGCGGTATCACAATAAACTATAGACCTGTTACCAGAGGTGAACACTGATGCCTAAAGCATATATTTCTGTTTGCGATACTGCAGACTTTTTGTTAAACTAACTTTGTTTTATCTTCAGGAAAGCTAGAAAACATGATTTCTTAAAATCTTCCTGTATTTATCTTCTCTCTTGAGATAATATTCTGTAAAAATATTAAGCTATGAGATTGGCTTGTTTCTCTTCGAATAAATGAAATAGGAAGGCAAACTTTGAAACACAGCAACAGAGGTACGTGGTTTGACACTTTAGCTATCCTTATAAAATTACATTTTCGGTGACTCATATCGATACCTTCAAGCAATGTGGGTCATTCCACTCGGAATTCCTACTCTGCTAAAATGTATACATACTCATTCTATAGGAGATTTGATGCTTTTAAAGCTGTATTAGCTATGAAACTTGTATTCTCATTATAGAAATGAGAGAATATGTAGAGCTGATAGGATATCAAAGAGAATTGAAGTCTTGGAAGAAAGTGGTAGCCTACCTGAGTGATATGAGTATCCGCCAGGAGTCATCTTTCCATGAATGAACTAGAATATTCCACAATAAGATAACAATGCAAGAATTTACACCAATGAATCAAGAACACTCTTAAATTAGCATTATTGACTTATTTCACTTCAGAAACGGGACAAAACCAACACAACAAAGTGGGTGGATAACCTTATTTCACACAAAAACACCATACTTTTCCCGACGATCACCCGCGATATTCACGTCCAAAGCGAAAAAAACTCTACAAAAACGAAGGCTTCCGAACTAAATTATTGAAGAGCGGTTAAATTCGGCCGAAAATTTGCCGCTTTCACTCATATTTTCAGAAAATTATCAGGCTTTCCGAGAAAGCGCACGGCACTCGCGATGGGAAATCGGCCGTTGCGAACGTCAACCAACTGGCCGCCCATGGATTCCCAAGGCAACAAACTCAGCAACGAACAGCAACAGGTACGATGACGTAGCGCGGGCGGTGGTGGTATGGTGGCGGGGGTGGGGTAGCTGGCCGTAGCTGGCAGGTGAGGATGATTGGGGCTGAATGCGAGGGTGCGAGGTGGATTTTTACGATGAATAACCAGATCCCAAAACACAAAGGCTCGCGCAGCGCGCATCAGCATAAAAATATGAATGGTTCGTAGAATGGAATACGGATAATGGATAGCTCGGGTCACTTGTCGTGAGCTTCACGTTGTATTCGATTTCACACCCGCGCATTTCGTTATGGGGAGACAAAACCCACATGGATTTCTTGAAAAAATAGGAGAGGGAGTCCCTCCTCTATAACTAAATATTCGATTCAAAAAATATGAAATGAGTACCGCACCCGATAGGGTTTATACTCTTTATTTTTACAGTGTCACGTTTTGTACGTGACTGACTTGGCTCATAATTTTTCATTCACTGACCATGATGCAAAATGCAGTTTCTATCGTTCCAGCGAATGAATTTAGCGACGAGCAATGAAAAAATAATTAGATGACTTTCCTAACGAGAACGACTGACTCGGAGGATAACACTTTTTCAGTTTTCGATTCGCCTGTTGGTAGGCAAAAATTACGGGCCCGAACGATCAATTGCCTATGCATATTTCTGAAGGAGAATTTACGGCTCTTCATCGTGAGTTGATTCTGAGCGCAAGCACTGCTGTGCGGATGAAAATAATAACAGGGTAGTGATAGCCAAAAAACTGCGCATTTTATAAAATGAAAGTATGATACATTTTATTAACTTCAGCCTTTCAGAGGTGTACATGGTTGATTAAAAACAAAATTATAGAATTTCATTGTGTTTCATTTTACAAAATGCGCAGTTATTTGGCTATCACTACTCTCTTATTATTTCCATCGTTCTTAATTGCTAACTGCAACACGTGTAATTACTATACGAATGATCGCAAGAAATCATAATGATGTCGGAGGGGAGGAAAAAATTACATACACATGCTTGCCAATTTGTGAAAATCCTTCCCTTCTCCCAGGCAAATTGAAGGTAAACAAGTGAATGACGATATTCTCACTTTTCTATGTTGCGTTAAAGTCTCTAGGAGTCCACAGCTTACATCCCCCAATAGGTGGATAGTTGGCTAATGGTGGTATGTAAATAAGCAATATGCATTCAGGAAGAGGTTCTTTCAAATTTTTGAGAATTAAGTACATACAAGCATTATATTCCTGAAAATCTTCAACCCTGCATTCTTGTTTTTTTTTGCGCAATTTCTTAAAGATTTTGCGCGAGCCGCACGACAACAAGATACTGATTTTGCGAAAGTAAGAGATTTTCAATTCGAGTAATTTTACAGTTTTTTATTGTCAAAAATGGGAAATTATTTGCAACGTTGCGTGTTATCAGAATATGGATATTTTAAGTTGTTTGGCAACATCCTTAGCAGCGGCATGGTTGCGTTGTTTCTCTTGCGTCATTCATTAATTACAACCTGACAACACTGGACGATAGTTTTTTTGCTACTTGTGTTTACATTCCGCACTCCGTAATTCGAATTTCAATTTTGTAAGTGTGTCGTGATTGTGGGAGATCGTGAATTTCTATTCCTCCACTATGTTCTATCCAAAATCCCTCACAAAATTTTAATTTGTCGAAACTATCTCTGTCTATTACTTTCTCGAATTTTATTCCTGTCTTGTCTAGAATGTAACCTCTGCAGCTCCTTAGCCGGCGGATGTTATGATGAATTCTCACGTGGTTTCCAGTGACAATTTTGCTGATCATCCTTCATGAATATTATGTTCCATTCAATCATTTATTAAACTAAAGGCCAATTCAAGCTTCATCCCGGTTCGCAGAATCATTCAATATCTACAACCAAGGAGATCGAAGTGCAGTGTGCCCTGAATACATAATTTAACTATTATCACCTTTCTTTTTAAATTTTAGGAGCCTCTCACTCAGTCATTCGTCATAGTCGTCAATTGAATGCCTATTCATCACAGGAAAATTGTGCTTCATGTTCTGCATCACACACCGTAAGAAGAAAAATCAAGAATCAAGAAAGAAGCACAGGTTCAACATAAGAAAGGCGCAATGCCCAGTGAACTTCTATATTCGCCCTCCACGATTCTAAATCCTGTTGTCTGAAGATATTGGGCTTTTTTCTAGATTGTTGTAAAGTTTTGCCTTGCTCCTCAACTCCAATCAAAATTTAGAATGTGCTCCATCTTCCATTCTTGTTCTACAAAATTTTTATTTACAGTAAGCACTTTAAAATGCTAAATGAGGTTATTTTCACTAGATTTGTTACCAAATGTCTTGGCAGGTTTGTAGCGGGCATCAGATAATCTACTGGCTTCATTTTGGTATAGATCAAAAGCATGAGTCAAGATATCGAGTCGTAGGATTCCCGCTAGATATCAGACAAAAAGTTCAGTAGTAATGCCCATCACATTTCATATTGCATGGTTCTCCATTTCGATGGTAAGTTGGCAATCACATAACTCGGTTTGCGATGTTGCAGACTGCCTGTCATACTTTATTTTTTAAATGGAAAGTACTCGATGGCAATTCTTTAAAACTGCTGTGATTTTTATTCTCTATGCAAAGAAAATTCTGCCAAAACTTCACGGCTTGATATAAATTTGTTCTCCTTTATAGAAATAACATAGAGGCAGAGATTTTTTTCAGACACCGCAAACAGGATATGTGATTGCGAACTTACCCTGTGGGTTTGCTGCACCGTTTAAAAATAGAGTCAAAAATCAGTGAGTACAAATACACTTTGCCAAATATTATAATTAACATTGCAATGTTCATAGCCCTATCTATAATGATTAAAACAGAAAATGAAAACAGTGTTTTCAAGTCTTACAGTAATCATAAATCTAGAAATATATATAATTTTGAATTGTATTTGTTTGTTTACTAATCTATTGCTCTGCCCAACAGGGTACTCTAAAACAGCGAGTTCTGAGTGTTGTCTCTATCTCTCTTCGAAGCAAATCAGATTATCCTGAAGTAGTAACAGACTATGGGAAGCTCCGAGGTGCAATCTCAACGTCAAGGAATGGAAGAAAATTTCTGAGTTTTTCTGGAATTCCATATGCCGAGGCACCTGTTGGCTCTCTAAGATTTAAGGTGAGATGAAACAATCATATGTTAGAATTCAGCACCAATTTTGCAGGTAAGTAACTGAAGACTTCAATAAAAGAGAAAATTCTAATGAAAGGTTGCAGAAAATACCCAATGTCCTGAAGTGTGGCTTGACAGAGGCTGAACAAGGAATGCAAGGATTTTGCTGTTTTAGGATCTAGACAAATTTTTGTGGAAAATTTGAGAGAAGTATGTAAAATTTTTGCCTGACAAATCACTGCAAGTGGCCCGTGTTAATGAACTTTCAATGTCTATAGAAAGTATAAATAGGTAATAAGCGCAGGAAAGTCAGCAATAATACCTACTTAAAGTATGTATTATAAAGTTTGAATTTGCATCAGTAAGTTCCTCAGTTAGGTAACAGTTCCAGAAAAAGGGAAGAGATTTTCAGACCTCTGCATTCATCACTGAAGTTTATCATACAAGTAATTGGTGTATCAACGTTCCTAAATAAAACCTTCTCATTATTTCTTTATTACTTTATCAACTCCTCTCATTTTCTTCCTGGATGTGTTGTTTTCATTTCATGCCAGTTTCTTTAAAAGTTTTTATTTCTCTCAGATGTCCTTTTTCTGTTATATTTAGCCACCTGTTCCTTGCAAAGGCTGGGAAGGGACAAGAGATGCTACAAAGGAAGGAAACGTTGCTGTCCAAGCTAGTCTAGCGTCCAAGAAAATTTTTGGAGATGAAGATTGTCTTTTTGCAAACATTTATACCCCAGAGGTAATTTTTTTTTTCATTTAAAAGTTCTCAGGGCTCCTGAAATATGAATGGATTATTTCACTCTAAAACCCTCTGAAGTAAGTCAAATGACTGGAACATAAATCACAAGGAAAGTTTCCATGTTTAAAACCTGATTTGTTTACCATTGCAATGTGACAAATTTAACATGAAATCTTGAAATGGATTTTAAACATTTCGCCTAAAACTTTCAAAGTATGCGGGCCAGTCTTTAAATGGCAGTCAGCCACCAACATAAGCCCTACTTGCCAAGTATTGAAATTTCGTCCCTCTTGATGAAATGTCACAAAACTAAGCAAAAGTGAAATTACAATACTAGTCAGTTGAAGCATTTTCTTGTTGCGCCTTTGCTGGACCTTTTTTTTCTCTTTGATGGAATCCATTGTGGAAAGTGGAACAAGGGTATGCTCTACCCCAATTAAAGCACTTGAACTGGCAAAGCGCTCAGTAGCATTGATTTGGTCCCAGTCTTGGCAGGAACCTTGAAACAAAGTTTCTGCTGAGACTTAAACGGAACTATTCCAACTGACGACTTTTCAATTTTGGGTGATCAGTAGCGAATGAACAAACCTACCCTCATTTTCCTTATCCTAGAGTCCTCTCATCAAGCCCTGAAAAAAGTGCCACTAAATCAAGATATTTGAACTGGAGAAATACTACCAACCATTGATGCCCTTTAATTCTATCTTGGTCTGCTCCTGTCATGTAGATAAAGACAAAGTTTCAAAATGGGTCTACTGCTGTAGGTCTTCATGTCACTTTATTGCCGGCTTTATTAAATTTTCTTTCAAATTCAACCCTATAATATTGATTAGATCTTTTGATAGATTTGACACTTTCAACCTACCAAGACACCTCCAGAAAATTCGAGAACCCCAAAGTTTGCCTCATCCAACTAAATCTCACCACAGATTCTGCAGTCTTTGTGTTTTCCTTCTATAATTATTTTCTTTTCTGCAATAGTGTGATGGGCCACTGAAACCTGTCCTCGTTTGGATTCACGAAGGTGCATTCGTAGTTGGATCAGGCAGTGCTTTACTTTATGGCGCTCATTTTTTCATGGACTATGACATAGTCTTAGTAACATTCAACTATCGACTTGGTGTTTTAGGCAAGTCTCTAATTTTAGTAAAAGTTAAGTAATTAGAAGAGCTTTTCCCTTTTAAGGGAGGTTAAGATTAATTTCTAATGTTGATAGTTCTATTTGTAGGCAATTATAGATATCAAAAAATTAAATTCAATATTACAATAATACTTGCATACTCACACTCAACAATATTGTTGCTCTAAAGCGCAATGATTTTTTATCTTTCTGAAATGGAAGAATACAAGTCATATGTGATGATATCATTCATGCCAACCCCAGTGAGCACAGTAATAAAGTGGCTCAATTTAGTAAAATAGCTGTGATTCACAAAATCATGTGTCAATGCTCAAAACTTTCAGATCAGACATAGATAGATATGAACAATGCTAAGTCCCACGCACAGCCATTGTTAACGGAGACATGGCATTTCGAAAGAGATGGTGTGTTCTCTCATCCACTGCAATAATGCATACCATTTTCTCTTCTTTCTTGAATTCATCACTGAGTGATGAACTGAGCAATGATAGAAAACACTCATCAAAGTAAAAGTAGAAGAAACCGTGGAAAGCACTTTTGTTGTACACAATGTTACTCATTGGTTTTTCTAGGTAACATTACTACTGTTGATATTGAATGTAGAAACATGGTGTTTGAACAGATTCTATTATTTTTGCTTCGTAAATAATAATCCCTGATCATCAAAACACGAACCTGTATGCATCGCCATCGCGCAACTAATATCTTATTATTTTAAACCTTATGTAATGGCAACTGTTACTGTGGTGAACTCTCTTCGTAGTTTTTCCGAGAGAGAGATTGAAAAAAATACATTTTGTCCATGAAAACATTGATTTGAAACAATGTACTCTTTACTGGTGAATCAAAATTTATTGATAGTGTTGTTCTTGTTCAGAAAAGATCGTGGTACATCTGTAGGAACTGTCATGATGAAAATAAGTAGGGTTGTCAGAGTTTTAGTTCTTACCTATGTACTTCCAGGCCTCTTTTCTAACACATATTCATCTTGAAAATATCTATAGGAACTGTCATGATGAAAATAAGTAGGGTTGTTCAAGTTTTGGTTCTTACCGATATTTTCTTCCGGGCTTCTTTTCCAACACATTTTCATCTTGAAAATAACCAAAAATTCTAGTAAATTCAGCTGTTAAATCTGATTGCTCAGCACTCAATACCACCATTTTATCTTCTTGCAGGGTCAAAATTTCTGAGCATTTTCTATCTAGAAAATATTATAAAGAAATGCTCTAATGTGAAAATTGTTATTTGATCTCCCTCAAGAGTTTAGCCCAGAACTGCAAAATTGACTGTTTTTCCCAGAAATTATTATTTCACAAAATGCCCTCAGAAGATTTGACTGCATTAAGTACCCGTTTCTTCTAATCCATAGATTATACTTACTACATTCATCATTAGTTTCGTCCAACCTTCATCATTAATATTTTCTTTTTTCTTTGCAGGGTTTTTGAATTTAGATTTAGAAGATGCTGCGGGGAACATGGGGATGAAAGATCAAGTCCTGCTTTTGAAGTGGGTCCAGAAAGAGATTAAAAACTTCGGTGGAGACTCAAATAATGTCACACTTGGTGGAAGTAGCGCTGGTGGTGCGTGCGTCCATCATCACATGATATCTCCTATGTCCAGAGGCCTATTTCACAAGGCAATCGCTCAAAGTGGAACACTTCCTGGCGAGTGGGCGTTTATGAAACATCATCAGAAGATTGGCCTTGATCTTGGGAAGCATCTAAGCTTTGATGCTAAAAACAAAGAAGAATTGCTCAAGCACCTAATGACGGTACCTGCTAAACAGCTTATTGAAGTCCAAGACTGTAGTGTCTCTCAAGAGAAACACTTCAAAGGAAATGATTTTGCCTTTTTACCCAGTTTAGAGACGGTAGGAAGTGATAGGTTTGTCTCCTCTGATCCTCATGAATTGATTGTCAGCAAGAACCCCATGGACATACCTTTTCTGACAGGTGTCAACTTGAACGATGGATTTCTCATCCTACAAAGTTAGTATTTTTTTCATTAAATTTGTATGATTACAGTAAACCCTATCTGTATTGCCAGTCATAACACCCCTCCTCTACCCTAGCGGTTTGCAGAAAAAGCTTGTCAAAGCCTGTGAAATGTTTTTGTAAGTGGAAAAGGACAGCAATAGACAGAAAATTTCAGGTGTAAGGAGAGAATTCAAGAGATGTTTATTTATTTTCAACTGCTTTTGTATCGGATATTACATTTTTATACTGAGTCTTCATAATAGTCTTCCATTTTCAAAGGTGGTACATGACCGCCAGATACAGAAAATTACTCTGGCAAAAAAAGTTTAGGAAGTGCTGCTCTACTTCATACAATTTCCTTTCATATGTTCTCTGCTTTGATACCAATCCAGTTCCTAGTTTTTATTTCATACTAAGCTTTGCAAAGAATCATGATTGAAGAATCTCTCTGTATAGTCTACTTAATCCATCAATGTTCTTGTGCTTGTTTCAGCCATCAAAGAATGGCCGCATATGATCAAAACATTAAATACCGATTTGAGATTTTTGTTTGAAGACCTAGTATTCCCTCCATCTTTGACATCCGAAGAAATTACCAAGCTGGCAAGTAGGATTAGAAGACACTATTTCGGAGAGGAAACTATCGAATACCCAAAACATTTTCATGAGCTGGTAGATGTAAGTTTTTTCTGGATTTCGTAAAGTGTATTTTACAAAGTATGCAACCCG